AAACTTGTAACGACATTTGTTTTAAGATCAAGTTGCTAAGACCCTTGAATCAACGAAATCCTACATCAACACTACCTTTGCCACAGCCCAAAACCTAAGGTAAAGATCATCCACACATTGTTTCAAGCTCAAAAACTTGAAGCAATCATTCAATCGTTCGTCTGAGATCAAGTCATCGCGGCCCTTGGATCAACAACCTACACATCTACATCAAATTTGAAGACTGAATCAGAGGAAAATTGTAAACAGAGATTGTAACCCTACAAATTCATCAATACAAATCTACTTTGTACACGTGTTTTTGTTTCATTCATTACAAAATTTTCTTGTTTACACGGTTGTAACCAAGGTTCTAAAAGATGTTAGGTGCTAGTCGGGAGGTAGGCTAGGGCCTAGCGCCTAGGTGGCTTGGCGGGCGCCTAGGCAGACTAGGCGGATTTAATTAAATCTATTTTCTATCTAAATAAGTCGCAACCTAGGCGGGTCTAGGTGGGTTAGGCGGGTGCCTAGGCGCCGTTTAGAACAGTGGTTGTAACAAGCGACCAAGTTATTCAAGTTAGTTTGTGCAAGCGATGACGATGATCTTTTTCCTTTTGGGAAGCTGGCTTCGAATGTTGGCGCCAACAACAATTAAACTAAGCTCAACCAAGAGAGTTTGACAACCATCATTTCCATCTCAATTATCTTTGCTAGTGGTTGAACAGAAAAATGGGGTTGTGATTTTAACTCGTAACTACTTTGACTTTTTTGGATCAATCTCTCTCTCAAGTCTCAGCTTCCTAGTTTTTATTTTGTCACTCAGAAGTTAGAATGTACTGTTAAATTTGAGTTTTTCTCCAACCATTCGTCCTTCAAAAATGAAAGAATGACCTTTAAGAAAGAACGAGAGTCCTGCAAAGAAAATCTCTAATCAATTGGGTCTTTCATGTTTGGTATTCTAGCTTTTGTTAGAGTAAAACTAGACATGAAACCTTTGGTGCACTACTACGAAATTACCCATTAGTGTCCTTTTAAAAAATGACTAGAAAAGCTAATTTCATAAAAACCCCTACCTTACCTCTTCTAATAATCTAAATTTATTCTCAACATTTTTTCAAATGGCCACATCTTCAACCAAATGATAGGAAATCCAAAGGCTTATTCATTTAGTGACAAGTGGCACTCAAAATATGTTTGGATAACTTTATTTTAATAAGGTAGTTTAATTTAATTAACCAATAAATTAAAGAACAAAATTAAAAATAATAAACATTGAGGGGCTAAAACATAGCTCATTTCGATTGGAGATGATATATAAATAAAGCCTAGCACTGTTCGTTTAAAAATATTTTTTTGCTGGGCTATAATTCTAGACGGGGTTGTATTGAGTCTTTTCGGTTGGTGATGACCTGAGATAAAAGGATTAATTGGAAAGGCTAAGGACTCATCTAGGCTTAGGAGTGATAGAACATAAAAGGAATAAGGGCCCTAGCCAACATGCAGTAGACGTAATTATCTCCAATCACGCAAACTTGTCTTGCCTTCTTGAAACATGCCACTACGCACCAATAATTATGGTGAAACCATGGGTAATATAAGAGGAAGAACAAATCTGGGCATCTAGGTGGGGCGAGGCGAGGGGGGATGGTTGCGGGGAAGGAGAAGGGATCGGCTGGGGGAGGTGAAGAGAGTGGAGGAGAGGGGTGGGTTGAGGGGGTGCGGGTGGGGTGGGTTGAGGGGTGCGGGTGGGGGTGGGGGTGGGTTGAGGGGTTGCGGTGAAGGGGAAGGGATGGGTGGAGAAGACGATTTCCAATTTTTTTTTTTTTTTTAGAACAAATATGGGTATCTAGGTGGGGTGGGGGTTGCAGGGAAGGAGAAGAGATCGGCTGGGGGAGGTGAAGAGAGTGGAGGAGAGGGATGGGTTGGGGGTGGGGGGGGGGTTGCGAGGAAGGGGAAGGGATAGGTGGGGAAGACAACTTCTAGTTTTTTTTTTTTTTTAATATAACTTTTTTTAGTTAATTATTTTAATATTTTAAATATTTTATTAATTGTTTAGCCACGTGGCACACATGTGGCAGCCACATCATCACTTAATGGTTAAATTAACAGATTTTTTAACGGTTGTATGAAATTGAAATAAAATGATAAGTAAATGTATGAAAGTGAAATGTTTTAAAGATGTTGTATGGGGTTGTAATAAACCTCAAACTTGAGGGGGTACTATGTAATTTACCTTTTTTTAAAATATGAAAATGGGGATTAGTAGTGAGACCCACATCATATCGAAATTTAACGATCCGAACTGTCTATTTTTTAAGTTGCACCTCATAGATCATCATTGCAAAATATTAGCCAAATCAGAAATATTTGAGGCGTCTAATTGAGTTCAAAGAAATTGATGAACATTTTGTTATCTTAGAAATTTTGAAATTTAATCATGATAATTAAATAGGCAAATGGTTTCAAGTTAAATTGAATTTTTGTAAGAATGAACTATGAATCGAGACTTACAAAATAGATAGTTTGGATCGTTGAAATTCAATGTGGAGTGGGGCCCACTACTAATTCCCACCTTTTTCAAAAAATAGGAATCCCTTCCCTTAATCTCTCTCTATCTCTCTCTCTCTCTCTCTCTCTCTCTCTTATTAGTAATCGAGCTCCCTCTCAAGACATTGTGCTACTTCTTTTACAATCAAGTGTCAAATATAAATTATTTTCATTGTAATTAGCTAAATTTAATGTAGAATATTGTTTAAATAAAAAAAAAATTGTGCTTCTCAGATAAAATGTTCCGAGTTCAGATGCAAACGGACTTTAATTTAGGGTTAGGCCATCTCCAATTGATGGTTGGCCAAAGGGCTCGTTTTAGCCCTCTGGCCCTCCAAGATTCTCCAAGATATTAATATTTTAATGAACAGTATAGGGTCATATTTGCCTTTGTCTCCAACCGAGGGCCAGAGGGCCAGAGGGCCAGAGGGCTCGTTTTAGCCTTTTCACAAAAAACCGTCTCCAACCGAGGGCCAAATGGCCATAGGGCCAAACATAATTTATTATTTAAAAACTACAACTTAAATTCAAATCCAACAGCTAAGTGACGTCAGCTAGCCGTTGGTAGCTGACATCATGCTGACGTCAGCTAGCTGTTGGATCCCAAAATGACATTACAGTTTGTGGGCGTTCACCCCTCTTCAATAACTTGGCGGAAGGTAAAGCACCTCAACTTGACTACTACATCAACGGCATCAATACAATATGGGGTATTACTTGGCAGATGGCATCTACCCAAAGTGGGCGACACTTGTCCAAGCAATTCCAAACCCTAGGAATGACGCGGAAAAGTTGTTTACCTTACACCAAGAGGCATGTCAGAAAGATGTTGAGAGAGCTTTTGGTATTCTACAAGCACGGTGGAAGATCATCAGCGATCCAGCAAGAGGGTGGAGTCGAGAAAATTTGGACTCCATCATGATGTCTTGCATCATATTACACAATATGATAGTGGACGATGAGCGAGATGGGTATATTGATGGACAGTCCGATGACGACCAAGAAGATCCAAATAGGTCAAAAAAGGGCTCGTGCAAAAATATATGATGAGCCTAATTTGCCTTTCAATCCAAAAACTGGTAGTATCTCTATAGATGAGTATATGAGACGCTATAGAATGATACATTCTCGTGCCACAAACAAGTACCTACAACAAGATCTTGTTGCACATCTTTGGGCCCAAAGAAGCACGGAGTTGGCATTTACGTTTTATGTTTTTAAATGTTTTTAAAAATGTTGTTTAAGTTTCATGTTGTATAATTTTTATGTTGGTTAATGTTATTTAATGTTGTTTCATATTGTTTAATGTTGTTTCATGTTACTTAATTTAATTTAATGTTGTATAATGTCTTAGGAAGTTATAGGAAAAAAATAGAATTTAAAAAAAAATATGAAACAAATTTTGTGAAATAGAAGTTATAGGAAAAAAATGGAATTTAAAAAAAATATGAAACAAATTTTGTGAAATAGAAAAAAAAAATCAAACAAATCAAATCAAACAAAATTTAAATGAAACAAATAATAATAATAATGTAAAAAAAAATATCAAATCAAATGCAACGGCTAGTAGCCGTTTCATTTGAATTTTTTCTTAATAAATCCTGTCGGTTATAACCGTCAGGAATAACAAAACTATAAAAAAAAAAAAAAATAGCTAGCCCGGGGCTGGCTGGCTGGCAGAAAGCAGCCAGCCCTTTGGCCCTTTGAAATTCCGTGGGGCCCTCCCAGATTCCTGAGCCCTCTGGCCTAACCCTCAGTTGGAGACGGTTTTAGCGTTATTTTCGGCCCTCTGGCCCTCTGGACCTTTCGGTTGGAGATGGCCTTAAAAACCATTTTGATCATTGAATTATAGGTCAAAATCTATTTTGGTTACTATGTTTTCAATTTAACTAATTTGGTCATTGTGTTGGGCTTCTGCTAGTTTTCGATTAAAAATAAAATAAAATATTCACTATTGATTAATAATTGTAGAAAAATAATTTTTTTGAACAAGAACAAGAAAAAGAATGAAGAGATGGGTATGGGAAAGATAGGTCACACCGTCTCCCTTTTCTTAATCTTTTCTTAATGTTAATTAGTGTATAATACTGCTTGTAACAAATAAATAAAAAATTGTCATGTTGAAATATATCAAATGTCAGTGTTTTGATACATTGAAGTTTTGGTAGTGTGAAGCTAAGAATTTCAAGGAGAATTCAAGGAGAATAATAAAGACTTTTAAATCACATTTAAAGGGAAAGACTAAAATGACTGTAAATCTTTCCAGCCCCGGAAATTTGGACTGTCATGGTGAAACCACAACTGGTCCCCTTTTATTACATAATTTGAAAAAATAATATTATCTACACTAAGGGGGAGGAGAGTGGGCTTAGCCTCACAATAAACTAGTAATAATGTAATTCAAATTTGACTTTGGCAAGAATCAAACCTAAGACCTCTCATTTAAAAGTAAAAAGAACACCACAAAACCGAAATACTAAATGGTGGCTAATCTCTTTTGATTAAAAGAAATAAAAAATCACATTTAAGTGGTCAAAAGAATTGGCTGCCACTTTTTAAAGTTAATACCAAATTGCAGTATCCTGACATGGTAACTAACATTTCATGCGCCAAATTATTTTTTCTAACCTACTATTTATGACTCTTTCTTGCTGCATAATGGGAAAGTGCTACAGAAAGTCGTTACATCCGGAGCATTTTCTGGGACATAGAACTAGAGGGCTTTTTTTACTTGAAAGAAGTCGTTTCGCTCCTTTTGTGCTGCATCGACGTCATCTGGAGATGCCACTGCAACCACGACCCCTTTGTCTTTGACTACGTCGATCGCATTTGCAAATTCCTTGAAGTCCTTCAAGCTGTGTGACAAATGGATAACAAGTTAAATCTTGAACTAGGTAATACATTCGCAGGCATGGCCGTAACCGATGTTATGTTCTCATACAAGAATCTAAATATGATATACAATAATACCTGATTAGGTATGATAAAGCTAACAGCTTATTGGCGAACAATGAAAACGATGGAGTAACAACAATGGTTCTCATGCCTTACAACTTGAATAACAAGTTAAATCATCAACCAATGAACAGAATCTTTACCTTGTTGACAGTATCTCTGCTCGTCTTACTTGCCTTTCTTCTTCTGTGATTCCCAATAAATATCGCAACAAACTGCAGGAGAAGAAAAAATGGAAACAGGAGAGGTGAAATATTTCAATCTTTTGGAAACAAAAAGCAAATTCAGAACCAATGTGAGACCGCCAGGCAACAAACTATTATGGCACATTGTGTGCGTAAAATTAGATACGGAGGCATACACATGATTGTTTCTAGCAACAATCATTAAAAGGTAAAAACAATCCTGTTCCCTTCTGGTTCCACAGCGGTCCTCACATATATCTCCACTTTCCGACAAAAATAAAACTGATGATGTCACCATACCTACTATAACCTTTGGCATCAGGAAGCTGGTACGAATCAACATCTCCGATTGTCCCAATGATGGACTTGGAAAGAGTCTCGTCATCCATTTCTAATTGTCAAAGAAAATCCCCAGTCCCATCATATACACCAAGTGTCTTTAACAAGTTGGGGTCCCGATAAGATAAGAAGGAGAATACTCCTATTAAATTTCACAAAGTTAGCTCCTAACATAAGCAATTAAAACTCGGAGAACATTTAACACAGAAGATTTTACCTGAGTGACTATCAAAGTCACAAAATCCTCCATATGCTCCACCACTAACTCTTACACGATCCCACAACCATGTATTACTAATGTATTTGGAGATAACATGTGCACTCCCACTAAGCCGATAACCAGCGTCATAAATGTTACCAGCCTTTCCAACATAATTAACCTGCAGAAGGTAAGAGCTCAGAATAATTAATTCATAGAACATTCAAAAAGGAACCACGACAAAAAAGTATTTTTCTAACCTGAGTAGGGATTACAATGGCTTCATTTGCTGAAGGTAATTGAGCATTCCAAGAAGCAGTCGCAACAGGAGAGCTGTTAGGCAGCAAATCAAGAAATTTGCTCATGAACTTCTCAGAGTTGGTGAGATTCTTCCCTTCAGCAGTGATATTTACTATGGAACCTTGCCTAGAAAGCAAGGACTTGCGGATCTCCTCAAGAGATGAAGAAATTCCATCCCAATCTTGATCAACTTTCTCTTCAAGAGCTTGAAGAAACTCCAAGTAACTTAGTAGAAAGAAGAAATTAATTGTATCAGAAAGTATGTTGGTTGCACTAAGTTTTACTATTCGATGTTGTATTATCCATAAGTACAAGCAAATAGTTCTCACACATGCCAAAAGCTTTCCAAATTATTCATATCAAAGATATGGTAAGATTTAAAAAAAGAACGATCATGCATAACAAGCTTAAATCTGCAGGGTCCTGGAAATGAACCTAAATCTGTAATCATTCTACAAGATGTACATTAACAGCACAAAGAATTGTATTTAATTTCAATGCAACCTTGAAATCATAACTTCTTAAAGTGCACTTTACAAACAGAAAATGTAGAATATGCAAGATTGGCAGAAAAGATCACTGGTAAATTTCCAGTCCAACCTGACACCACCCATTTGTTCTGAAATCCACCCCACAGTATTTAGCTTTGCATATCCTTGAAGCAGCAATTCCATGACCACCACCTCTCAATCGGTTCTGAAAAAGACATAACAGAAATATTACAGCTTTCAATATCAAGAATCAGTTATGTTGAACCTTTTCAAATAGAGTTTATGATATACCTCCATTCTCGCTTTGCTTTGGGAGACAAACTGCTTAAACCGCTGCTGGTCTGTAAACTGGACTTCTTGAAGAACACAATTGAACTGCAATAACATGAAATAGATCCATGAAAACCTTGATTAAGTATCTGCAGCAAAAATTTAAGCACCAGACTACCATACTAATCTAGAGGTAAAATAGCAATTATACAGTCGGTGACTTGGTATGGCAATGGCACTGCAATTACAGACCTCCCGCCATTCAAAAAGAAAAAAAGAAGGGAATGATCATATAGTATGTTCACAATGAAGCCAATCCTCTTAAGGAAAGGATAACTAAATTGCAACTATTATATCTTCGAAATTAAGACAAAACAAACCTGAATTTTTTTTCATTTGATTAAGCGGACAATGGAAATTTTGCACAGGAAACATTTCAAATGAAAATATGTATATTTAGAATGGAAACAAGAGAATTTTACATCCACTAAGATAAAACTTAAGTGCATAAGCATTTCCCATATTTGACAAATAATTGTCAGCTCAAGGTAAACTTCATGAGAAGTTAGGAGCAATAAGTACATGAAGCCAATTAATACAAATTATTCTTAAGTAATGAACTGGAAATTCTTATTGACCAACTCTCAAATGAAAAAAAAAAGGAACTAAAAATACCAGGTGAAATAGATCATCAGCACGTCCTGCCATAGCTTTTCCACGAACAATTATATGGCTGCAGGGATCCGCCTTGCCATGTACAGATGATGTCATTGGATAAACTGATATTCCTCCAGTTTTCCTTCCGGTCAATTGATTCAGTTGCACAAAACTCAAATCTTTTGTACCCATCTCTAGCAACGATTGGCTGTCAAAAGAACATCATGATACAATCAAGAATACACATTCTAACTTTCCTAACTTACCCAGAAAAATAACATTATTTAACAATGCAACTTGTTAAGCTCAAATGATAATAAGAGCATCGTTCTTATGGTTACACTGTTGATGTAAATAAAGAAGCAGTTCAATGGGGTGTGCAAATTCTCATACCAATGTTGCTGCTGCAACAACCCCTAACCCTATTGGTGCTTTGCCATTAAACAGATCTACATTACTGTCCTTCCTTTCATAAATACAATTCAACGCCAGGATTAGGTGACATGTGTTAGGTTTTTTGGCTCGTCAATTAGGGTCCTTTTCCGTTTAGGATTGTTATAGGGAAATAAGGGGTGCACTGAATCTTCTCCTAAAAGGACTAGGAAAGAATCTTAGTTTCCTTGTTCAATTAGATAAGGAATCCCAGAAGTCTATTTGGAATTGGAAAGGAAATGTAATTTCCTATTCCATTTAGAATAGGAAATATAATTTGAAAAGGGACATGTGAGCCACACCGTATACTTATAAATAGGGAGCAGCAAGGCTGGAATAATGAGTGAAAAAGCCAGAGACAGCCAAGAGAGTTTAGAGGTGATTAGTTCTAGGGTTTTGCAAAGTACTGTAACACTATTATTAATCAAAGAAGCCGTGATTTCTCTACCCAGGGAATCACAACTGGACGTAGGCAAAAGTTCTGCTGAACCAATATAAATCTTGTGCGTTTCTAGTTTTCTCTATTTTGCTAAGTTTTAGTCTATTGCCGGATACATTAAAGAGCAAGACCTAGGGGGAGTCAGAAATATAACAACATGAGCATGAGTGTCTGATTCAAAAGTCACAGGGTATTCACACGAATATGTAGTCTTGTGTGTTTATAATATCAATAAATATATATTTCTTCATAGGAATATGCTAGCATGCACGATAACCAGAGTAAGTGAAAGAAAGTACTCAATCTATAATTTTGCATATCTCTATGTAATTGAAGGTGAAACCTTCGTGTGTCTCCTAAAGAGTCTCAGGAAGAACATGCTGTGTGTTCCTAACTATCCAACATGCAAGTTATCGTGCTCTACAAAGTTCAGTGTGGCCCCTAAGACTGATATGAGTCTGAGAGTTGAGTAGATTTTCTTCACTGAAAGACTAATAGAAAAACGAGATTCAATGAAAGAGGGCATGGGAATCAGTCTGGCTTAATGAGTTTAAGGGAAGTCGTCAAGAATGGGGATCAAGCTCAGCCTTCTTCTTTTTTTTAATCAGTTACAGACAATTAAATCTTAAAAAATGGTTCTGACCAAGAGGAAAGAGATGCCAGATTGGTCAGTCATTGTGTGTTTTGCCTTTGATAATACAGATTAGAGAGGCTAAAGTATGAGGCTTCATTTCGCTTCAAGAGAGAAGGTCGTACCCAGTGCACAAGGCTCCCGCTTTACGCAGGGTCTGGAAGAGGTGAATGTCGGCTAGCCTTACCCCCATTTATCAAGAGAGAAGAGTTTCACAAATTAATTTGCGCAGTTACTTCTGAATAAAATTGTTAAATCTCCAAAATTAAATATTGGCAGGACCAGTTAGCGCATGCTTGGAAGCCCATGGAAAATTAATCAAACTCTACTTTTGAGGTTCTTCAGAAGTAGCCTTTGTTTTAAGAAGAGTTAGCATCATGTTATTTCACGATGAAACCAAAGTAATGTAGGCATAAGAAAAATCAGTGGAAACATCTTACCAAAAAAGAGGTACCAAAGGAAGTAGCTCTTGCTTTAGTGAACTCATATGAACACAACTTCAATGTACAGGACAGCATTTGTGAAGAGGTCATGCCGCAGAACTTTCGCGCCATTGATATCCCCAACCTACATTTAACATATATTATTTTCAATAGGAACTACCCCGAAAGGAAATTCACAGAAACTTAAACACAAGAAACTTAATGTTCTGGTAACCACTGTAGGAATACGAGTAGGTTCCCTTGAAATGTCTTGCAAAGAGAGACTTGGAACACTTGTCAAAGCTTCCGGAAGGTCAGGAGTTTCCTGCCGCAGTTGCAGCTCCTGTGTAGCACGTGCTAGCTCAGCAAGATCTTCTTCTGTCATACAGGATTTAACTTTCTGCAATACTTCTTTCTCAGCCTCTTCATCACGAGAAGCTTTCTCTGGATCAGGCTGACAATCAAGTTACTTGTTAGGAACTTAGGAGTAATAAACAGGGAAGAAAGGTCATGGGAGAAAATGTATAATTGATTACCTGCATTTCTACCACAACTCGATGGGGATTGTCCAGAATGAATTTCTTGATTAAGGGAGAGAAAACAGCCTTAGAGCCTTCAGCTTCTATTCTGGCTTTCAGTGCCAGCAAAGGTTTCTCATACTTTAATGGCTCAAACGGATCCAAATCATATATCCATCTACCCTTTAAAATGAAAAACTTACATTAAACTCTGATCAAGAATAAATGGCCAAAAAAGATGCCTGACACTTGATTGAGAAAAGGATAGGGAAGAAAACTAAACTAAAGAGTGATATATCTTACTATGGATCGGACCATTAGTGACAAGCCACGAGGAAATGATCCCTTGTTGTTTTCCCTCAGGGAAAACTCAATCGTATTCATGGATGCTTCTACAGCTTCCGTATAAAAACCTTCCTCTGCTAACTTTTTAAGTGTACTCATGACAACTTCTTCAACCTTTTGAATATCATCTTCTGAAACACCCTTCAAACCAATACTAAATAGAGGTTGAAGGAGATCACCCAACCCACTCTCAAGCAATATTTTCCTCAATGGAGAAGCCGGCGTTCCCAACATAAGATGATCCAGAACCCAAGCGTAAGCTCAGTCTCCAAATCTAGGGGATTATCAGCAAGCAACCAATTGAGGCACACCATGTTTTTCTTCCTCAAGTCACCATCTTCACCAGCAGGATATTTCTCAGAAATCCTAATTGGTTCTGAAAATAGTTTCTGCGGTTGAATTCTTGATTCATTTGGAGATGAACTTGCATTGAACATATCTAGGTACTCTGAGAGAGAGAGAGAGAGAGAGAGAGAGAGAGAGAGAGAGAGGTGAGATGCTAGAGATTCAAAATATTTTCGATTATTACACTTATAAATCATTTATAAAAAATTCTATGTCATCAAAATAATAGCGCAATAAAAAGATGAACATCTAAGCAATCGCTGGCTTCTCTACGACAGATATCCATTCCGTTTCTTAAATTAGTAACCTAAATTTTAGTACTTTGCAACAATTTGGATAAAAAACCAAAAATGGGGAACATTAGTTGATGTTAAGGATTGGATTTGGAAACCTTGTTACAGAATGAAAAATCGTAAAATGCACACCACTAGAAGAAGTGATAACATAGTAAAAGAGCCACTAGCATAACTAGCATATGGCTTTATGGTTTCAGTGGCTAGATTAATATCCTCAACAGTTTCTTTCCAGAGCTAGCTTCTCATCAATCTTAATTTGGGAAAACTCACCCAATCTTTTATGGGAAAAGGTCGAAATAGTCATACATTATAATCTAGTCTGCAAGCAAACCAAAGTAATTCAAATGTATAAGTAGATCCGATTTAATACCACTCAAAATGCGCAGACGTTCAGTTGGATCATCATCTCCATAAAACCATATCCGGGCATTGCTGGGATGGTAATACTTACGGTGGAACTCCTGTAATATGTTTGTCAGAAAGAAAAGCAGTTGCATTAAAATATTATTTAAGAAACAACTCAAAAATAATCGACAGATGTAACTCGTACACGAGAATCAGATAACTTGCCAGGTAGGTGGTCACACTCAGACGAATAATGCATATGAGACAGAACACGGAGAAAGGAAGGGAGAGGGGGTAACAGTGAGTCATTCTACCAGAAATCACTATACGCAAAGGACAAAAATGCTCACAAACAAAACAAAAAAAAATTCAAAACCGTTTTGCAATAGAATTCTAATCACTGTCATTCTACATCCAAATGACATTGGAATGCATCCTTTACATGGTTCAAAACTTCTTACAATTGGTCATCTGACTACATCACTACACTGAAGGCAACACGCTGAAATTTTCCAGAACAATATTTTAAAGGTTGCACAGAATGTGCTGCTGTAACAGGAATGCTGTGTGAAATTGTAATGCTACAAAAAAAAAAAAAAAAAAAATCAAAGTCTACAATAAAGTTTCGATATATACTACGACCACAACACATTAACAGTTACAATTAAGTTTATAACAGTACTCTAAAGAACTATACAGATATTTTTCCTCGGTCAACACAACAAACCTTGAATTCTTCAAATGTCAGTTTAGGAATAACTGTTGGATCACCCCCACTGTCAACAGCATAGGTGTTGTCCGGAAAAAGAGCCTGTAGCAATTGCACATGGAAACAAGAGGTATCAATATCAAAGTATTTTGAAGAAAAAAAAAACGAAGAGGAGATACTTGGTAAACATAATACCAAGTACTCTAGACAAAAGCTAGTGCCATTAAATGTTCAAGTACTATAATCATCCACGATAACATATGACTCTCCTGTCAATAACACAGATAGGTGTGTATACCAAGAATAAATGGCCTTTATGAACTCCAGCATTCATGCTCAATTAGTATCATTATGCTAAGTGCAATGGGAAATAAATTTGGATACAGAAAATAAATAATATAATATTAAGCAGATAACCATATAGAAATGTATATTAATAATGTTTAATGATTTACATATACATCTGATTTTATAAAACATTTAGCTCAAACTGAGTGTTCAAACTAAAGCCCACCATGATTATTTCCACCATCTATTACCACGGTTGCCCACAATTAAACCCTCTACAGTATGTGGTTTGGACAACAACATACCTAGATCAAACAAATTCAAGTAATTGCGCATATTGTTATAGTACCATTAAACACTCTACAGTATGATTTGTAACATTGGTCTGTCCATATGATTCAGACACGTGGAAAAGAACTGAAACAAAGATGGTTAAGACTATAAATGTGCCAAACTGCTAAAATATAGACAATAAACAGTTGGGAACAAAAAGAAAAGAAAACTTGCCTGTTGAGCAGTCCGCCAGAGTATATTATCAGGCTGGGAATAGACCCCTTTCATCTCATTAAAAACAACTCCTGAAATTAAGAACAGAAATCATTTAAGAAGAAATATAGTAGCTTAATACTAGGAAATAAAATTTTTTTATAACCATGACACATAAATTTTAGAAGGATCATGTGAGCAACCTTTATACGATATATCGTAAGAAGGATCATTGAGCTCGTAATGCCAACCCTCCTGCTGGAAAGTCCTGAAGTCCTCCACACAATTAGGAAAGAAGACAGCATCCAGATATACATCGACAAGGTTATAGAAATCCTGATAAAATGACATGTTTTAATAACGAATACAGTGTCAATACAACATATATCAGTGGATTTCGTTCCAATTTTCTACTCGTTTTACCTTTGTATTTGTGGAAGCTACCAGGTAGCAAGTTCTATCCGGATAAGTAAATGCATTCAGAAACGTATTCAAGCTCCCTTTCAACAACTCAACAAATGGTTCTTTCAAGGGGTACTTTCTTGACCCACACAATACACTGTGTTCAAGGATGTGTGGGATCCCAGTGGAATCGTTCCTGCATCAACAAATAGATAAACAAGATTGAACATTGTGATTGACAACAAAAGAAAAAAGGACATTTGTAATTCACTTAAAACAACTTGATTTACACAATAATTCTTCACTGTTCGGTAGCTAAACCAATCAAACACGTAATGCGCAGAAAATAAAGTATCCTAATTTGTAAAAGCTAAGCTCCATTACATCAAGAATAATTTTTTAGTAGGAGTACTCACGGCGGGGTCCGAAAAACAATGCCGAAAACCTTATTCTCGTCATCATTGGACACCGAAATTACTTGGGCACCCGGTCTTCTTGTGCCTGAAGAGCAGAGCTTTGGATTTACACTCTCCAATGAACTCCTCAGAGACTTTCTCGAACCCGAGCTTTTCCACGACCTCATCCTGCACCCCAGAATACTTTAAACCACAAAAAACCCAAATTAAATCACAAATTACAAATTGGGTAGCTAGGGTTTCAGAAGGAAATGTACCTGAAGGGGACTGAGTGAATGGGATGGCGACTGCGCGCGGGGAGAGGGAGGAGAAACTTCTAGCGACGTTGGGGGCAGAGGAGGGGAGTAATCTGCTGGCGGGGCGGAGCAGAGAGCGTCTGCTGGGGTTGGGAATCGGACAGCGGCAGTGGTTTCTTACAGCAGAAGCTGAAGAAGAAGATGAAGAGCGAGACGAGGGGAGGGAAAAACAGGGGAGGCGGCGGGAAGAGCGGAAGGAAAAGAAGAGGCGATTGCTGGAGGCGAGAGAAGAGCGAAGCAGAGTTGCTCCCTCCATAACTTTTGTGGTTTGGATTGCGAGGGAAATAACGAAATCAGAAAGTTAAGTGGAGTTGGGGATTGGATGGGTGGTTCTTTCCTTCTTTTATTTTGGAATGTAATATCCACACATTCTATTTTACTTCTCACATACTTTTTTTAATTTTCGGTCATCGGATCGAATGAATTGAAGAAGATCAACGGACATAAATGATCAAGGATGTGTGAGAAGTAAAATGGGATGTGTGGATATCATACTTCTTTATTTTCCTTTTTCTTACTTAGAAAGTTGAAACTATTTTCCATGTTTTTATTTTATTTTTTTTATTTTTTTAATAATACTAAATTTACCACTTATTTGTATCATCATTTATATTATCTTTCTAAAAGAGGTAGGGCTCACCAATTTACCACTTATTTGTATCATCATTTATATTGTCTTTCTAAAAGAGGTAGAGC